AGTATCAGTATCGGTCTTTAGTTTATCTGCGTTTGTATGCTTTTGGCTTCCAATTTGTAATTTTCCAGTAGTAGAGGTTCCTATTGAGCCCTATTCCCAAAAATTGGCAACAAACAGCACAAAATTCATGTCCACCAATGGACGTGATAAACGAAGGCTAGATGATGATGATGATGATCGGTCTGTTGATTACCTTCCTTATCTATTACAGACCATGTTTGGGATTGAAATTCTCTTGTAGGGATTTCGATCTTTTGAAATAAATCCCTCGGTTCATTTCTACAGCCATGTGCCTCTATCTCCCTGTATATTTGAGAGATATAATTAACTTTGTCTTTGCTGTACTGTTTTCTGATTTCTTTTGATAACGCTCTTTATTATCGTTTGTTCCGTATCTAGTTTTATGTTCTTTCAGACTGAAGCACAGTATTCGGCTGTTAAATAGACTAATACAAGAGTGCTTTTCCTGATTGTCTTTGCATTGGCTCCCCAAGAAGTGTTTGCAAGCTTATCAATGATGTTACGAGGTTTTACTTCGCGACTATTTACGTGGAAAGCAGTAACTTCTGTCTTTGTAGGATTTGGTTAAAGGCCCCATATTTTAAAATGTGTTAATAATATTTAGGTCGCCTTCTAGAATAGCTTGGGCCTTCTCGATGTTTCTTTCTTGTATATCTAAGGCCATGCCATCTACATAAATTTTGCGTGAGATTGTAATGGGAGCATCTGAGATGTAAATGTTAAACAAAAGCGGCGACACAACCGACCCTTGTGGCAAGCCATTCTGAAAAACTTTTGAATTTACTAGTTTTCTCATTAACGCTCACTTTGAATAATTTGTCGTACTGTATTTGATTTACTAGGTCATTAAATGATTTGGTATGCATTTGGTACAATTTAAGTAGTAGGCCTTCTTTCGATACCATGTCGTAAGCGCATGTCAGATCAATGATAGCTATTGCCATTTTGATTTTGTTTTTGGAAGTCATTTTCAATAAATGTTGTTAGGAAAAGAACTTGATCACTACAGTTTCTTTCTGGCATAAATCCAGGTTGTTCTACAGAAATTTTTCTGCTAACAGATTATAAAAGCCTTACGTAGATTATCCTCTTAAAAATCTTATAGCAGAGAAGAGGACGATTGTTCTATAACTCTCGGGTAGTGAATTAGAGTGTAGTGTTACGTAATAGTTATGTAAGTTTTCCAAACCAAATTTTGGATAAAATTTGGTTTGGAAAAAAAAACTTTCACTTTTACTGTCATTAACATTTACCTATTGTAAAATTTACAAATTGAAAATGAAATAGGATCTTTAATAAACAAATCTTCGTACAGTACAGCTTTTGATAGTGGCTTAACCACACTTTTGCTATATTCCTTATAAAGAATACCAATTGTTCCTATGATACCAGGAACGTGTACGATGTTCATATATTTCTAAAAAAATATTAAAAGCTGACAACTAGGTTAATAAGGCCAAGTGTGTTGGAATAATTAAAATTATTATACAAGGATAAGAGATCAAATACCTTCTGCAAACACATTCTGCAAATTCAACACCGTCTAACACCCAACTGGTGAAATGGAGAACTTAGAGATAAAGAGATGATTTGCAGCAAAATATTTGTGTGGTAAATAGTTTAAGCACAACAACAATCCCTATTTTTATAATTTCAAACAATAGACTTTATTTTAAATGAAAAGTTGAGGTCACTGGATAAAATTATGTAAGACTATCTGATTACAATTCTTTTGTTTACGGTCTTGAACTTTTATTTTTATCCATTTAACAAATGGGAATAGAATGTTGGGTGAGAAACTGGTAAGAAAACTAAGCAAAATCAAATTACGCTGAAAGCGTCCTAATTAAAAGCCATAATAGTTATAAATATTACAACAATAGACGATACAATACAATACAGGGTACTTCAGGTGTTCCACACGTTAGACTAATCAGTCTTCTTTGACTTCTGCATAGCTCTAGCTAATCTAGGCGTGTAAAATATTAAGAACTTGCTATCAGTAATACTGGAAGAGGAAATTAACGTGATTTTTAGTAGAATACCCACTTTTTATGTTATTGTATTTTTAGATATTGCGTAAAATTTTAGACTTTTGCGTAACATACCATTCAGTTTTTGAGTTATTCATTTTTTGCAAAAATGTTAACAATAAAACTCTGAACATCTTTTTTTTTCAAAATTTCCACAATAATTTATTATAATATCTTATCACTACAACTGTTTTCACAGAGTGTCTTTCTCGAGTGATCTATGTTTGGTACCTGTTTATACTTTATAGCCTTTAATTGAGTAGGTTGAGGAGGGGAGAACTGTTTATTTTAAGTGTTTGTCTCAACAACTTCAATGAAGTGAAACGTCTTTTTATTGAGAGGTACCCTGATAGCCCTATATCGAGGGAGCTTCTTGCTGACATAATTATAGAAATGGTAGTGAACCCTACTTCGTTGTGAGGTATTGGATTGACACAAGTCCTCAAATCTCCAGAAAAAGTAAATGTTTGGGTAGATATTTTGGGAAACCACATAGTTTAGCCCGTTTTTCTGAATGGTAACTTAACCGGTAAAGTATATCTGGGGATATTACAAAACGCAATTGAATCGTTCTTCTTCTTCTTGGGGTGCCTGTCCGTTCCGAACGTTGGCTATGATGACTTTGTTGGTGGCTATACGAAATAGCTGTGCTGAGGTATTTTTATACCATGCTCTCAGGTTAGTAAGCCAAGATATTCTTCTTCGCCCTGGGACCCTTTTTCCTTCAATTTTACCTTGCAAAATGCATTGAAGTAGCTCGTATCTGCCTTGATTTTTCATTATATGTCCCAAGTACTGCAGCTTCACGATGCTGACCAAATCCGCAGTTGTGTTCATCCCCCGCAGTACTTCTTCATTGGTGACTTTGTCTGTCCATGGTATCTTCAAATTATATCGAATCTGTATCAAAACCAGAAAGCAAGAGTAAGAGTCGAAGGAGAACTGACAGAGGAGGTAAGTATACTTAGAGGAGTTCGACAAGGGTGTATCCTTTCACCACTCTTATTCAACGTCTACAGTGAAATGATTTTTCAAGAGGCTTTATTGGATATCGTGGAAGGTATTTATGTCAACGGAAATAGCATTAATAATATTAGATATGCCGACGATACTGTCATATTTGCAAGTGACATGTAAGATCTTCAGTACATAATACAACATGTATACAATGCATGTGAAAGTTACGGACTGCAAATGAATCTCAAGAAAACGAAATCAATGATATTCTCAAAAAAACCACAAAATGTAAATAACCTGATCATCAATAATACAACGATAGAAAAAGTAAAAACATATAAATATTTAGGAACGTGGCTAACCGAAGATGGAGATTAAGTAAAGGAGATCAGATCTAGAATAGAAATGGCAAGAAACACGTTCATAAAATTGAAGAAATTACTTTGCAACCGTAACCTTAATCTAGAGATTCGCACAAGAATGCTACGTTGTTACGTCTTCTCTACTTTACTATATGGCATGGAAGCGTGGACAATAAAGCAGTCTGAAATCAAAAAATTAAACTCCTTTGAGATGTGGTGCTACAGGAGAATGCATAAAATATCGTGGATTGAAAAAGTAACTAATATAGAAGTGTTACAAAGAATGAAGAAAGAATGTGAAGTCATAAAAACTGTTAAAATTAGAAAGATTCAATATCTGGGACATTTAATGAGGGGTGAGAAGTACGTATTACTGAGGTTGATTATGCAAGGGAAGATACAAGGGAAGAGAAACCCAGGACGACGCAAAATGTCCTGGCTAAGAAATTTGAGAGAGTGGTTCGGCTGCAGCTCATTAGAATTATTCAGAAATGCGGCCAACAAAGTTAAAATAGCGATGATGATTTCCAACCTCCGCTAGGAGAAGGAACCCGAAGAAGAAGAAGGTATCTTCAGGATCCTTCTGTAAAGCCACAGCTCAATTGAATCGTTAATTCTTGAAATTCTGGAAGATATTACAGATGAATTTGGCAACTTGAAAACAACGTTTTAACAAGATGGTGCTCCTGCACACTATTATGTTGCAGTAATGCGTTACCTAGATGAGGAATGGCCAGCTCGGTCACCGGGCCTCACACCATTAGATTTTTTTTCTGTGGGGGTACTTGAAACCTAAAGTTTGCGCTACAACACCCGACAGTATGGTCACAAAGGTTATGTAACGTCATCTATGACTATTTCGTCACCTGTTATGACTGATTGAGAAACCTACGTCCGTTAATTTTCTATCTCCAAATTTCACTATTATAAACAATACAAGGGGGAGGGGACTTTTGGCTAGCACTGTATAGTACTTTTTATTATTTTTATCTAGAATACATCTAATCTGATTAAAATCTTTTGCTTTCTTTGCGCTATGTTTGGCTACATGGGAAAAAAATAAAACCAATAAAAAAAGGAAGTAATCATAAATAAGATTATAAGAATTAAAACAATAATATATAATAAAAATGCTGAAAAACACACGATTAATGCAGCATACTCGTGAGGTCTAAGGAATTAAAGAAAAGTGGGAAAATGGCCTAAGTATATAAAAAAAAAATGAACAAATAAAAATAATAAGAAAAAATTGGTAAAACATTTTTGCATAGACATAGACCAATTATTTATGCAAAAGAAACAGCACCTAATTTCTACACTTGTACCCTTCCGACCAAGGTTACTGGCTGAGCAACGATCAACAAAGAAAGAAGAAAGAACCCATTAAATTGTGAACCCATTAAAAAAAAATAAAATTGTGTGCAACATTAGTAATTTTGTGTATACACTGCCCACTAGTAACGTTTGTGGTAGGTGTAATTTATGTGTTTAAATAAAAAAGTTAATAGCTCGTTTGGATCTAATCTTAAAATATATAAAAATATAAAAACTCAAATATAAAACAATGAGCGTCCTATCTATTCATAGAAATCTTTCATATATCAATAAAAAATATATTAATACTTACTTTTCTAATCTATCTCCTAATACTGTACTTCTATCACTTCTTATTGGATTATATAAATCATCCACGTCCAAAACTTTGCGATATCCTTTCCGGAACATCTCAATTGTGTAACTGAAAAAAAGAAATGAATTAAAATTAATGAGGATATTAGGAAAGACTCCAAAAATCATGGTTAAAATGCTGTTCTGAAGCTATTTTCTTGTGGTATCAATGCAATTACTATTTTCGTAATGAATAAGCCATAATATAAGTTTAAAGTAAGTTTATTTTTGACGTCTCGATTTCCACTTCGGAAATCGTTCTCAAAATACAAACATTGCATTTAGTTAGTATTAAGTTATGGTTTTAAATCCCTTCTTGCAATTACCTACGCATCAACCTTTAAGTTTTAAACTCGATCCAATATTTTTATAAGATTTAATAACAAAAACATTTTAAAATTAATATTTTTAGCTGGTTACCTATTTCTCAGTTGATCAAATGCTAAAAGTGATGACCTCCGGCGTCTATATTATGATAACGGTTTTGTTTTAAATGTTCTCTTACATACCGAAGCATTTGCAGAGTGATTCGTCGGCATTCGTTGAAAATTCAAATGTTGAGACAAATCTGGTAACCGAAGAGGCCATTCGATACTGCGTCTTTTCCCAATCCAATGCCATGGAACATGTTGGCTGGTATATATATATTGAGAAGCAAGTAATGTATAATACGGAGGATCAACGTCCTCTTGAACATACAAATGATCTTTTTAACAATATCAGTCAAGGCAGGATTAAACTCTTTTTCTTCTTCTTCTTCTTCTTCTTCTTCAGCCTGTGTTCGTCCACTGCTGGACATAGGCCTCTTCCATTTGCTTCCATCGATTTCTACTTTTGGCAATTCTCATCCACTGCTTGCCCGCGACTTGTTTGATATCGTCTGTCTACCTCTTCTGCGGTCTGCCTACTCCTCGCCTGTTTTCTCTTGGTCTCCAGTTTGTTAATCTTTGTGTCCATTTCTCGGGATTATCTCGAGCAACGTGTCCGACCCATTGCCACTTGAGGCTTGCAATACGTTCTGAGACATCAGTAATTTTTGTTCTTTCACGAATGACGTTATTTCGAATCCTGTCTCTCAAACTAATCTCTAGCATGGCCCTCTCCATTGCTCTTTGGGTTGTACTGAGCTGCTCTAAGGTTTTCTTTGTGAAGGCCATGGTCTCCAGTCCATATGTAGTTACAGGCAAGATACATTTGTCATAAACTCTACGTTTTAGACACATTGGTATATCTTTATTCTTCAAAATAAAGCTTAATTTGCCGAAAGCTCCCCAAGACAGTTGTATGCGTCTTTTTATTTCGGCTATTTGATTTTCTTTGCCGATTTTAATGGTATGTCCAAGATATATATATATATATATATATATATATATATATATATATATATATATATATATATATATATATAGTGGTCTACATTTTCAAGACTGACGTTGTCAATAACAAGATTAGTTTGTAAATTACTCATTATTTTTGTTTTCTGAAGGTTCATTTTGAGACCTATTTTATTTGACTGCTTGGTTTAATTCCTTCAACATTTGTTCCAGTTCCTTGATATCTGTACTAAATAATACTATGTCATCCGCAAACCTCAAATGACTCAAACGTACACCATCAATGTTTAGACCTTTTTCCTCCCAGTCAAGCTGTTTGAATACATTTTCCAATGCTAAGGTAAAAAGCTTTGGTGAAATAGTATCACCTTGTCTAATACCTTTATCAAGGCGTCTTCCAGTAATTGTAAATACATTTCACCAGATAAACTGACAGATAAAAGAAATCACCGGAAATATCAGCCCATACATTTTGATGTGTTGATTACGTCTGCAGAAAGAGAAATAAAATAGAAATGAAAAGGTATGCCTTTTTATAGAAATATATTTAAATAGATAAAAATACCATTACTTGCTGTTTTCTGTGTGGTCTAAACGGTATTTTGGAATATTTAGAATTGTTGCAAAAAAAGGTGACTTGACAGAATCGGTACATTTTTTAGTAGAACCTTTTAAGGGATTATGACTTGTTTAAATGGATTAGTTTGAATATTCGCAGCCAAAAAGCCAACCCTAAGTTTGTCAAAAGAGATAAAAGTAACGGAAATTTTATACAAATGAATAGAAATCCCGTCATAAAACTATAAAGCATAGAATATTTAGGTAAGAAGTACACTGGGTGGTAGCAATATAACTGGCATTTTATTAGCATGGCTAACAAAATGATTTCTGGAAATTTTTACAAAAATTAAAATCATGTAAAGTGCTTTTAATAAAATTATAATAATAAAATAAACTAAAATTAGACAAGATATAAATCGTAACGGATTTGCAACAAGATTTGATTAACAAGAATAATTGTTTTTCAATTTTATTGTCGCAATACTTGCGCAATTTTGGTGATATTTTATATATGTAGAAATGTAAAGTTGATAAACATGTAGTGCATTTAGATTACTCGCCAGAATAAAATTTAGGTATTCTATGGTGGCGAACTTTTCACTTTTCTTTTTCATACACCAAAAACACAAAAATAAAAGAATAAAAAAGAAATAATGTAAATATAAATAAATTATAACTAAGAAATAACACAAAAGAAGAAAAAACCAAAAACATTTAAACAATAAAGAAATGGCAACTCTACATAGAACCACAAATATCACCAACAGGCTAAAGAATCCAAATGTAAATGAAGAAGGTCAGACAGAAATAGACTCCTACTGGACCAGAATAAGAGAACATTGAAGCAGCAGCGAAAGATGAAATAGGAACAGAAATTTGTGTCAGTAAAAATCAATGGTTTGACGATAAATGCAAGAATGCAACAAAAAAATGAAGCCTACAGAAAGATGTTTACCTGGCGAACTAAAACAACTATAGAGAATTAGCAGAAAAAGAGAAGTGAAGAAATAAGGATACACAAAAGAAAAAAACGAAACCACTTAAATAAGGAACCTAACCCTTAACTACTGACGTGGATGTTTCAGGACATAGGCTCTGACGTGCGGTATGTCATACCGTTGCCTATTCTCCTTTGTTTTTAATATGAATTTATCTTATATCACTGTATTTGTTTTTTATATCAACTACGGAATGATTCTTCACATTGCTGTAGCATAATATACTGCTACAAGTAAAATAAACTTTACTCTTTCAAGAATATTATGAATGCATGCATAATATTTAAAAAAATGGAGGACGTTACTACAAAATCGTTTATAAACTAAATTACAAGAAAAATTGATTACTTGTGACTAACAAATGGTAAAATAATGTTAAAAGAAACAGACTAATGATTTAAATTTAATGAGAAACTAAAATACAAAATTCTGACAATAACCAAAAATTACAATAAAATAACTAGTCATTTTGCGCGCCAGGTCCGCAATTTTTCTTTGTACACTGTAAGCACACTGGTTTTCCACAAGAAAAGCACACATAAAAAGTCTTTTGCTTTAATGCACTTGGGCATAAGTAACACGTCTTCTTTTTCTCAAGCCTTTCTTCAAAATCTGCTTCTTTTTGGCGTTTTTGTCCTAGTATTCGTTCAATACCATATAATAATTCTCTCGGGATTCTGGGATTTTCAAGTCTTCTTTGTAGATTAGGTAAAACTAATTGTTTCGCCAACTCCTTTGTGTAGTTTAGCCTTTCCATATTATCTTTTTGTAGTGATTGGTATACAACATGCGAATTAACAGCAGCTATATCAATGATGCGGTAAAAAATAATAAGTGGCCATCGGCGAGAACTACGTTTTACAGAATATTTGGCCCACACTGGTATCTAAAGTGTTGACACCTCCTTTCGTACGATTATAATGAGCTATATACTATTTCTGGTTTTTCAGTAATCTGATTCGTGCCTATTGAATGGTGCATCGAAGAAATAAGTAAAACAGCCCTTGATTTTTTTGTCACATGGGAAATTAGTGATAAACTTTTCGTAAATCCGTAAGTAGTTGAATTTACTTGCCTACATCGGTGTGGCTGGAATTCCGGAGGAATTTCCCGTTTATTTTTCTTGAGGGTTCCCCCATACGTTAACTTCTTTACTTCTAACTGCTTTACTAATTGTATAGAACTAAACCAATTATCAGCTGTGATATTACGGTTAGTTCCATAAATAGATTTAGCAAGCCAAAGAACAGATTGAGTTCTGAGGCTTATTAGGCATATACATTTTAAACCTACACCTTCCTCTAAAGCCGACCAACATTTCATCAATACAAACACATGTGCCTACGGAATACAGCTTTTGACAATTTGATATAAATATATTAAATATGTTACTAATGGCTGCTGTTGGATCTATCTTTTTTCTTTCTTCTCTATCCAGAGGGTTATCAAAACGTAAACATTTTAGAAATATTGTAAATTTTTCTTTTGATATAACACATCTGAATATATCTCTACCAGTGCCATCTGTAGCAAATATAGAATTTATATCTTCGTTAATGGATTTGAAAGCTGATGAGTATAAAAGCAATCCCAAAAAGGCTTTTAGTTCTATTTCATCAATTTCATTTAGTTCTGGTCTATTCATTCTTTTATAGTTTTCACGAATTGCACTTAATTTATTATTTGTCCATTTACGTATTTCTTGTATTACATCCTCAGATATAAGAAAATTAAAAAAAAAGATGAAGTTTCGTTTCTTACATCTCTGGACCGCACAGCTGGTACTTTTGGTACAAGGTTGTGTAACGGAGTTTTTACATTTTTCGAGGGTGCTGTCTTTCCGACTGCACACTTCCGGTGTCGTGTGAACTTTCAATACATACTTCTTAGCTTGCATCGTCAACATCACTATCACTAAAATATTCTAAATCACTAGGTACTTCGTCAGCCCATTGAGATAAAACAGCCTCAAAATCATCATCTGAAAGCTTTTCAGTTTTGCGGTTAAATTTAGAACAACTGGATGAGCTTGCTGCCATACTAACAGCAAAAGAATACACTACACTGCTTTTAACTATAGAAACGTAAATACTGACATGCGGTACTTGATACCGCAAGAACACTTTATGTCAACGTAGCTCAAAGACTAAACGTGTACTAAAACTGCAGCAGTTGAG